ATTGTAATGGAAGTCTTAGCCATCACAATTAGGGAAGAAAAGGCAATCAAGGGTATCCATGTAGGGTCAGAAGAGATCAAACTTTCACTTTTGGTAGATGATATGATTGTATATCTGGAAAACACCGGGGATTCTACAACAGAACTCTTAGAAGTGATCAAGGAATACAGCAGCGTCTCAGGTTACAAAATCAACACTCATAAATCTGTAGACTTTATATATATCAACAACAGTCAAGCTTAAAAAACAGTCAAGGACTCTATTCTATTTACAGTAGTGCCAAAGAAGATGAAATATTTGGGAGTTTACCTAACAAAGGATGGGAAAGATCTCTACGAAACTTTAAGAAAAGAAATAGCTGAAGATGTTAGCAAATGGAAAAACATACCATGTTCATGGTTAGCAAGAATCAACATTATTAAAATGTCCATACTTCTCACAAGCAATATACAATTTTAATGCTATCCTTATTATAACTCCACTGTCATACTTTAAAGATCTTAAAAAAAATGACACTTTGTTTTATATGGAATCAGAAAAAACCTCAAATAGCCAGAACATTACTTGGAAATAAAAACAAAGCAGGAGGAATCATGCTACCAGACCTCAGATTATGCTATAAATTGATAGTGATCAAAACAGCATGGTACTGGCACAAAAACAGAGAGGTAGACATATGGAACAGAATAGAGAACCAAGAGATGAACTCAGCTACTTACCTTTATTTTATCTCAGACAAGCCAATTAAAAACATTCAGTGGGGAAAAGATTGCCTATTTAACAAATGGTGCTGGGTGAACTGGCTGGCAACCTGTAGAGACTGAAACTAGATGCACACCTCTCACCATTAACTAAGATAGACTCTCACTAGATTAAAGATTTACTCTTAAGACATGAAACTATAAAAATACTAGAAGTAAGTGTAGGGAAAACACTTGAAGAAATCAGTCTGGGCAAGTATTTTATGAGGAGGACCAATGGGCAATTGAAGCAACATAAAAATACACTACTGGGACCTGATCAAACTAAAAAGCTCCTGCACAGCCAAGAACACAGTAAGTAAAGCAAGCAGACAACCCTCTGAATGGGAGAAGATATTTGCAGGTTATGTCTCTGACAAAGGATTAATTACCAGAATCCACAGAGAACTCAACCATATTAGCAAGAAAAGAACAAGTGATCCCATCTCAGGGTGGGCAAGGGACTTAAAGAGAAACTTCCCTGAAGAAGACAGGCACATGTCCTACAGACATATGAAGAAATTCTCATCATCCTGAATCATCAGAGAAATGCAAATCAAAACTACTTTGAGATATCATCTAACACCAGTAAGATTAGCCCACATCACAAAATCCCAAAACCATAGATGCTGGCATGGATGTGGAGACAAGGGAACACTTCTACACTGCTGGTGGAAATGCAAACTAGTACATTCCTTTTGGAAAGATGTTTGGAGAACACTTAGGGATCTTAAAATACACCTGCCATTTGATCCTACATTTCCTCTACTAGGCATATATCCAGAAGACCAAAAATCACATTATAACAAAGATATTTGTACCAGAATGTTTACTGCAGCCCAATTCATAATTGCTACGTCATGGTAGAAGCCCAAGTGCCCATTGACCCATGAATGGATTAACAAATTTTGGTGTACACCATGGAATATAATGAAGCCTTAAAGAAAGATGGAGACTTTACATCTTTCATGTTTACATGGATGGAGCTGGAACATATTATTACTATTTTGCAGTTTTTAGCCTGGGCTGTGTTTGAACCTGCCCCCTCCAGCATATGGTTCCAGCACTGTACTTCTTTGAGCCACAGGCGCTGCCATGGAACTTATTCTTCTTAGCAAAGTGTCTCATGAATGGAAGAAAAAGTATCCAACGTACTCAACCCTCCCTACTATGAAACCAATTTATAGCTTTCATATGAAAGCTATAACCCAATTATAGCTCAAGAAGAAGAGGAAAGAGAAGGGAGAGAAGGGGAGGAGGAGATGTGTGGAGGGGGGTCATTGGTGGGAACACACCTATGGTGCATTTTACAAGGGTACATGTACATGTGTAATTTACTAAGTGTAGAACATAAATGTCTTAACACAATAACTAAGAAAATGGTGTGAAGGCTATGTTAACCAGTTTGATGAAAATCTTTCAAATTGTATATAAAACCAGCACATTGGATCCCATGATTGCATTAATGTATACATATATGATTTAATTTAAAAAAAGAAGATTGCCAAATTGCCAAAAATAATATGAGGAAACATTCAAAATCATACTCCAGTTTCTCTTCAGATCATATAAATCTTTTGCTTTTTACTAAAGATTTCTGTGGAGAAGAACAATTCTGAGTCTGTGACCAATTTTTTGAGGCGTTGCATTTGTAGGGCTAAAGAGAAAAAAAAAAGAAATGTTCAAAATCATTAATCATCAAGGAAATGCAAATTAAAATCACTATGAGATATCACCTTACCCTTGTCAGAATGGCCATTATTAGAGGGTAAAAAAAAAAAATTTACATACTTGGAATAGATGCAGAGGGAAAGTAAAGCTTATACACAGTAGGTGGGACTACACATTAGTACAACCTCTATTGAAAACAGTATGGAAATTCCTTAAAGAAATAAATGTAGAAGTATCATTTAAATCAATAATTTCACTACTGAGTATCTACCCAAAAGAAAAGAAATCATTGCATCAAAAAGACACCTGCACTTGGATATTTATTGCAGCACAATTCATAATGGTAAAGATCATCCTAAGTGACTATCAATTCATGAGTGGATTAAGAAAATATAGTTTACATATACTACTGAGTACTATTCAGCTATAAAAAGGAGTGAAATATCATTTGCAACAACTTGGATGAAACTGAAGACCATTATCCTATGTGAAAGTATCGCAGGAACGGAAAAATAAACACCATGTCTGCTGTCTAAAAAGTGGGAGCTAATTTAAGGGCACACAAAGGGTACATGGATATGTAAAAGTCATAGGAAATAAGAAAGGGGGAAAGAAGAGGTAGACAGGGTAAAAGGTACAATGAACGCTATTTAGGTGATGGGCAAATTAAAATTCTCACCTTAAGGAATATAAAAGGTTTAGGGCGGTGCCTGTGTCTCATAGGAGTAGGGCACCAGCCCCATATACTGGAGGTGGTGGGTTCAAACCTGGCCCCAGCCAAAAACTGTAATATATATATGTTTAAATGTAACAAAAACATTATACCTGGGTTCAAACCTGGCCCCAGCCAAAAACTGTAATATATATATATGGTTTAAATGAACAAAAACTTTATACCTTGGGTTCAAACCTGGCCCCAGTCAAAAACTGTAAAATATATATATATATATATATATATATGGTTTAAATGTAACAAAAACATTATACCCCATCAACATTTTGAAATTAAAAAAGTATTTTTTATTGTTGGGGATTCATTGAGGGTACACAGAAGCAGGTTACATTAATTGCTTTTTTAGGTAAAGACCCTCTTATATTTGTGTCCCACCCCCAAAAGTTGTACCACATTCCTTGACCCTCGCTCCCCCTCTCTCCTTCCCTTTCTCATCTCTTCCCATCCCCATCCCTCACTGTGTACTAGGACCATAATTGACCTCATATCACAACTAAGTACATAGGATTCTTATTTCTTGTGATGTTTTACTAAATAATGCTGCATCTCATATATACTGGTTGTCCAACCCTATGCTTGTCTTTTAGCCTCTATTACTCTAGTCTTCACATTGATAAAATGAGAAAATTTGCCTCTATTTTATATGTTTTTGTGAAAACCAATATGGTACTATATGTGAACACACTTAACAAAGATAAATGTGCATTACTGACGTAATCTCACATTTTTGCAATTGTTACTGTTAAGAATTATCATGATGTCATGGAGATATAAAGGGAGAATCATATGACTCTTTAACAAAAAATTGAAAGCAAATTTTGAAATCAAAGAATATCTCAGTAATATTTCTCTCTTGCTTTCTCTCTCTCTCATAGATAAGCTTTTAGGAGAGTCTTGTAAATAATATAAACCGCTATGCAAGTGCTATGCACTGAATAGCCCCAGACTGAATGTATATTATTCTTAACTCTTTTCTCTGTCCAGTCCATCTTCCACACTGCCAACTCTACTTACCTATCCTTTTTATTTTATTTTATATTTTTTGGAGGCAGAGTATCACTGTTTCCCAGGCTAGAGTAATTTGGTGGCAAAGCTCCCAGCAACCTCAACTCCTGGGCTCAAGAGATACTCTTGCTTCTGCCTCCTAAGTAGCTGGGACTATAGTGCACCAGGCGAGCTTTTCTATTTTTAATAGAGATGGGGGAGGGTCTCACTCTTGCTCAGGCTGGTCTTCAATTCCTTAGTTCAAGCAATCCTCCTGCCTCGGCCCCACAGAATGCTAGGATTACAGGTGTGAGCCACCACACCCAGTATCTAGTTACCTATCTTTTTTTTTTTCTTTTAAAGCACTGATTCGATCAGTCCCTGATGTTGATTTAATTAAATTAAAATTCATTAGTTTGGCAGGTCTCAACCTACTTCTCTAAACTCATCTTCCCCAACTCTTTTTCTCTTATTTTCTTTTCTTTGTCTATCACCTTGAGCTCCATGCTACAGCCACAGAAATTATATTACTATTCCTAAAATATTGAAATCTTAACTCTTTAACTTTTTTTTTTTTTTTTGAGACAGAGCCTCAAGCTGTCCCCCTGGGTAGAGTGCCATGGCATTACAGCTCACAGCAACCTCCAACTCCTGGGCTCAAGCGAGTTTCCTGCCTCCGCCTCCCAAGTAGCTGGGACCACAGGCGCCTGCCACAACGCCCGGCTATTTTTTGGTTGCAGCCCTCATTGTTGTTTGGCGGGTCCGGGCTGGGGATTCGAACCCGCCACCTTAGGTGTACATGGCTGGCGCCTTAGCCCGTTGAGCTATAGGCGCCGAGCCAACTCTTTAACTTTTAACAAGAATGTTGTACAAGTTAGAAAGCTTTCATTTAATTCCTAACTTTCCAGATATTCCTAATAAGAAACAATTTCTTTCTACCCTATATTTCCATGGCATGTTGTTCATTCATTCGTTCTTCCAATATTTACTTATTATCTATTATGTTCCCAGCACTGTGCTAGGATATGCTAGTGACGTATTAGTGAATAACACAATTGTAGTCCCTAATCTCATAGATTTTATGGATTCTCATATAAAATAAATAAACTAAAAAAACTACATAATTAAGATGGTGATAGTGCCATAAAGAAAATGTGTAAGGTTTAATAACAGCACATAACCAGTACTTAATCTATGGGACCCTTAGGGCATCAATAACATTTACTCATCTATTAATTTCCATGGTATCAAACATAAAAGTAGTAATACATATAGTTGTGTTTATTCACATTAAATTTCAGTAACTATTTCATTGTAATTCTAAGCATATAATCAGTTCAAAACAAAAACCAAAAGTATATAATCAATTTAAAGCAAAAACCAAAAACCTATTCAGTAAACAATGTTCGCCTTTATAAAACAAGTGGTAATGCAACATGTTTTTTCACTGAACTGTCATTGCTGATGCTTATTATATCACTGAGCTTTTGGAGTTAAAATTCTCATAAAAATACACAGTTGAAATTTCAGCTATGGGGGAGAAAATCAGGAAATCCTTTCTACAAAAAGTACTACAGGTTGAATATCACTAATGTGAAAATCAGAAATCCTAAATACTCCAAAATGTGAAACTTTTTGAATGACACTCATAGGAAATGCTCATTAGAGAATTTTGGATTTCATATATTTGGATTAGGGATACTGAACCAGTAAGCATAATGCAAATATTTCATAATCTGGAAACATCAGAAATCCAAAACACTTCTAGTCTCAAGTAATTCAGATAAGGGGCATTCAACCTGTACAAACCTAGAAAAAAAATAACAAAAGCAACCATCTCAGAACTCTGGAAATTGACCAGAAAATACATCTGGCTGGGAAATATTTATGCTTAGGAATTTGCTGACCCTGGGATAAGCTCCTGTATACAGCACACCCATTTCAATTGGATCTAAGGTTCTGTAAGGATTTAACTAAAAACTGCAAAGTACTGCTGATATAAATTAAAGAATATCTAAATAAATGAACAGACATTTCATGTTGAGTTGGAAAATTCAATATTGTCAAGACGCCAATTCTCCCAAAATTGATCGAAAGATTGTTGTTCCCACCTCCAGGCTTGAAGGCTTGACAAACACTCTTGCTTTTGAGGTTCATGCACTTTGTAGCATGGATCAATAGTTTATTCCTTTTAAGTGATGAATAGCATTCCATTACATGCCTAAATCATATTTGTTCATACATTTATTAGGTGATAGATATTGGGATTGTTTCCATATTTGCTATTATTGGTAATGCCATTATGAATATTTATGTACATATATTTGTGTGTACATACATTTTTATTTCTTGTGAATATATCCCTAGGAGAAATAAAAACGTTAAAAACTACACTCAGTGAAAGAAGCACAATTGGGCTACATATCGTATGATCCCATTTATATGAAAAGAACAAAAGAGGTAAATATGGAAACCAAGAATATATGCTTAAGTCTAGATGTGGAAAAAAGGATTAACTGCTAAGAGGCCCCAGAGAATGTTTTGAGATGAAAAAATTCTTAACTTTAATTATACTGATAGTGGTACAACATAATTTTACTAAAATCATTGAATTATACAGTAATAATAAGTGAATTATATGGTATGTAATCGCATTTCATAAAGCTGGGGTTTTTTTGGGGGGGATTGTTTGTTTTTTCTTTAGAGAAAAGGTGATACTCATCTTGCTCTGTCACTCAGACTGGAGTTCAGACTGGTGTCACCATAGGTTACTGTAGCCTTGACCTCCTAGGCTCAAGTGATGCTCCTACCTCAGCTTTCTGAATAGATGGGACTACAAGAATGTGCCACTGTGCCTGGCTAATTTTTCTTATTTTTTGTAGAGAAAGGGATTCCTAAGGCTGATCTCTAACTCCTGGCCTCAAGCAATCCTCTCCCATTAACCTCCCATAACGTGGGAATTACAGGAGTGAACCACCATGTGTGGCCCTACTTTGAGATATGTTAATGCACATTTATAACTTTTATTTTAAAAGTAATATTATACACATAATATTTTGTAACCTACTTGCATGACCAAATACTATGATTATTTTTCTAAGTCAATAAATATTTATCACTACTGATAAGGCCAATTAGTGTTCCTTTATGTATATGGAGTTTTATCTAATAAAAGTATTGCTTTTATCATAGTATTTTTAAAAGCTTAAAAAACTATTATTGCCTATGATAATTAATCTAAATTTATAACATTCTCTTTCAAAGTCTTTCC